CTAATGGGAAGATAGTTTTAGGACGGAGAAAAAGGGGAAGTGGAAAGAAAGTTTTAGGACGAAGGGAGTATGATATATTTAAAAAGAAGGGAATTCCCCTTTGCATTTTCACCAAAATGGTCTTCAATCACAAAAGGGAAGCGCTTTACATAAATAGGTAAGTGTTACATGCAACAGTGGCATGTATAAAGTAATACCCGAGTAAATATTTATGAATTATAATGTACTGTGTATAATAAATTCAAATTTCGAGTAAAAGGTAATTATGGTAATTAAATTACCCATGTAATATATTTTCATTAATAGGGTAATTCCATACCTTAAAATTTTTAATGCCGTGTTATAAAAAGTATATTAATTATGGTACCGTGTTATAAAAAGTATAATTAACACGGAGGATAAAAAGTATAACTTTTAAATGCCTTTTTACAAAAAGTATAAATATTACGGAGTACTTTTTATACTTTTTATGATACCGTGTAAATAAAAGTATTCTCACACCAAATATTATTTGGTCCAACATTATATATTATAAATGAAATTTAAAGGTTTGGAAATGGAAATGATAGTGTGAAAAAATATCGATAAAAAAATATCGATAAAAAAATATCGGAGTTTTTGTTTTTAATTTGTACGTATTTTAAATAAGGCAATTTCATTATAAGCAACGTAATAATAATAATAATAATAATAATAATAATAATAATAATAAAGGTAGGTTCCTTTTACGTGATTACCATGTTTAAAATATTACCGTATTTGGAAAAAATATATTATCATACCTTAAAGTATCGAAATTAAAATTACAGTTGTGTTTGCATTTATACTTTTTCGTTATTTTAAATAAAGTGATTTCTTTATGCACGACTTTGGTAAGAATGAATCATAAATACACATTGATAATTAAAAATTTAAGGTAACTTCAACAAATAATTATCTTTCCTTTTTTTACTTTATACGTATTTTAAATAAGGTAACTTCATTATAATCAATGTAATACTATTATTAAAAAATGTATGTTTCTTTTTTGCGGGTACCATGTATAAAAAATTACTATCTTTAAAAAAATGTTGCCTTGAACAAAAAAATATTCTCACATCTTAAAGTATC